AAATGAACTACGCCCGAAGGATCGTTGGGATGCCCATTTTTCCTGGGTTATTCGTTTATTTTGCGAACGTATGCTTATATTATGACGATCTCAGAGTTCACGATACTATCTATGATCCGTGGTGGACGATTGTTTTTGAGGAAGTGCGCACCAGTAAAACGAAGAAAAGGTGATCCACCGTAAATGGGATGCCGGATTTTGGTACCATGTAACGTATCTGTGAAACCCTATCCCTTCACTGGTACTACTATCGACAGCGAATAGTTTTTTCGGCCTTAGGAAGAACATTGAAAGCGGAAAAACTCGGAATGTTTGATTACTGGTGAAGCGAATACCTTTGGTTTGACCCACTCTGAGAGGTTTTGTCCACACCAATAACACAAGGCAATTTGAGTACCACGAACAGAGGTCTATCGGGGACACCATCGTGGTTCGGTGAATGACACTGTACAAGAACTGATAGGAGAGCACGTCACTAGACTGCATTCCTCAAAGATGTGGTCTAGATCAGAGTTAGTTTTACAGATTACTTAGACAGTGAATGTTTGGATTAGATTAGTCCGTTTCGGTGTTTGACACAGGCATCGGGCATTGTGGAGAAACTTGGATGTGGGTTTCACTCCTTGGCCGATCGTTCATTCCCCAATCGTGCAATGCGTTTCAATGCGATGGAATCTCTTTGTACATGTTCCACCAAATATGTTTTTTCCAGTGCAGCGTTTTAATGTGACCAATGTTATTAACACTGCAATGTCGGTAGAGAATTGTACTCACCGACGTTTCGTTTACTGTGGATAATCTTTCTCAAGGCAGGATGATTGTAAAATTTGTAAACCTGCCATGAGAAAGATTACCCAAAAGGTAATCGAAATGTCAGCGAATACAATTTACTACCGACATCGTTGTATTATTAATATTACAATATTCACAATAACTCAACACACGGCCCATCGATTTTTCGATACACTAGTGTTGGTGGTGCGTCTTTTTCCCCACAGATACTGATGGTACTGAGACAGAGGAGTAATAGGAATTCAATTGATATTTAGTGGTAAATATCTAGTGGCAAAAGACTATTGAATATATTATGTCAAAAGACATTGAATGGAACGAAAAGTAGAAAATAATTACAGTCCTGGGCTCAACATTCGAAATATAGCTAGGTGAGAAGAATTTTCAATGAGTGCGGTACTTTTGGTTGACTATTCATGAAATAAAACCTCCGTTAGGTTGTAAATAATCTCCTCGTCACACGAATTCTTCCGACTCATTAAGGAATCGATCGACCGGCTAATGATAAAATAATTACTTGGATCCATGAGGACAGTTTGGAAAACAAATTGGGCAGCTTGATTCTATGCTTTCTGTCGTGGTTTCTCCGAGTTACCTGTACGGTAACCAAAATTCAACACGATAAGGATCCACATAGCATTTATTGCTTTTCCGCGATGCGAATTGAAGGTAATATGCACTACGCAATCTTGCACACATTCCATAATAAAAAATTGGCTCACTGAAATTGAATCTTGGATGTCTGTCTGTCTACTGACCTCAAATAGCCATAGAACAAACATTTCTTGAAGTCAGAAATTTAACCTTCCACATTTCACGCCTTCGACATCTGAGAGTGCTATTGTACACTATTTCTAAATTCATTTTCTCATGCTTTTTATGCCATTGAACATACTGTTCTTCCCGCTATCTTCCATGGTCTACTGTCTAAGGATTTCATATTGATAAGACGCTCACTGCAAAGCGTCCATATACCTTTTCAAATTCAAGTGAATCCACCGTAACTTCAAGTGAATCCAACCGATATGGAGCTGTATCTTATTAGGCCCTGGTTAACTCCATTATTAACCAACACCTCAAGTCATGTGACCGTCTGCGTGACTCTATCTTGCCCCATACATCACATCCTTCACACTCAGCCCTCTCTCAATCCATTTCAACTTCTGTCACCTACAATAAGTTTAAACCTCTGTACATTTGTAACACTGATTTTCACAATTCCGTTGTACTTTACCTTTCACGTGTGTTGGTTTCCAGGGAAAGAATATCAAAGTGATGCACAGTCACATGCAAATTTCCATGCTACAATTTTCTACAATTTGCTATGCGTTCTCGGTTCCTTCTCATTATTGTCTATATACTATTTGTCATATCTGTAAACTCATTTTTAATAGAGTGCATGGCAAAGCAAAAGTGATAATATTCTTTTCACTAACAAATCTATGCACATTGGATGAATAAACTACACTCTTGACATGATTTGCATTGGCACACATTGCAATAGCGACAAAACATTCTATCAGAGCAATATTAAAAC